AACCACGACCGGGCCAACCACTAGCATGGACAATGGGCTGTCAAACAGCTTTTGAAAATTTAAAGAGACTATTTGCTGCTGAACCAGCCCTAAAGCACCCCTGCCCAGGGGAACCCTTTGTGATCCAAGCCGATGCCAGCGATGTGGCAGTTGGAGCTGTGTTACTGCAAAAGAACAAAAATGGGATCCTGCAACCCTGTGCCTACACATCTAAGAAATTTACTGAGAGCGAACGGAGGTGGGCAATCTGGGAGAAAGAGGCCTTCGCGATTAGATGGGCACTATTAAACTGGCGACACTATCTGGAGGGGAGCAAGGTGCCATTTGAGGTATGGACAGATCACAAAAATTTAGAAGCGCTGAAAACTCCCCGCAAGCTGTCCCCAAAGCAAGTGCGGTGGGCACAGTACTTTAATCGCTTCGACTTCACTCTAAAGTACATACCCGGAGGAAAGAACTTCCTAGCAGATGCGCTATCCCGGCTGCCCCAATACAAGAGCAAACGAGAAGAGGTTAACGAGGCAATTATTCCCAATCCACAAACTGCCAATCAAATCGCACCTCGCAGGGTCCCCAATCCTGATGACCCTGGAGCGAAGAAAATAAAACGAGAACTCCTCACCGACCAATGGTTCAAAGATAATCAGGCCACTCTAACGTGCAGGGATGGTTTGGCTTATATGGGGGGAAAGCTATATTTACCAGAAGCCCTCCGTCTTAATGTTCTCAAACACAGCCACGATGTAAAACAGGCTGGACACTTTGGATATTTAAAAACCCTACACCTCACCCGTCGACAATTTTGGTGGCCGGGATTGAAAAAGGATGTGGAAAACTACGTAAAAAGTTGCGCTACATGTGCCACAATGAAGAGAATCCCAGGGAAAACCCCTGGACTACTACAACCTGTGGCAAGCCCTTCTCAACCATGGGAAGAGATAGCTATGGACTTTATAGTAGACCTACCTGAAAGTAGTGGGCACACTGTCATCTGGACTGTGATAGACCTATTTTCAAAGCAGGCTCATTTCATCGCCTGCAAAGGACTCCCATCCGCCCAACGGTTGGCCAAATTGTTCCTAAAGCATATCTACCGACTGCACGGCGCCCCTAAGCGGATAATTTCGGACAGGGGGGTGCAGTTCACAGCAAAGTTTTGGAAAACATTCCTTAAATTAATTGGATCATCCCAAGGCTTATCATCTGCCTTCCACCCAGCCACTAATGGGGCCGCAGAAGCCGCTAATAAAATGGTGGAACAATATCTTAGATGCTATGTTTCCTCCCAACAAACGAACTGGACTGATCTCCCATTCGCAGAAGTAGCATACAATAACTCCATGCACAGCAGCACTGGTTACACGCCTTTCAGAGTGGCAACAGGAAAAGAGTTCAACCCAATACCTGAATATCCTCAACCACCCTCCGCTTCCCTGACACTTGACCAATGGGTGAGGGGGTGGGAAGAAGTTTGGAGAAATACAAAAACTGCTTTAAAAAAGACTTTTGAAACTTATAAAAAACAGGCTGATAGGAAGAGGGCTCCTGAAAGAACATTCCAAGTTGGGGAAAAGGTTTATCTGTCAACCAAATATCTACACCTCAAGTTACCATGCAAGAAGTTGGGGCCAAAATTCTTGGGGCCTTTCCCCATAGTAAGAATCATCAACCCTGTCACAGTAGAGCTAAAGCTCCCTAAACGCTTAGGGAAAATTCACCCAGTGTTCCATTGTAGCTTGTTGAAACCATATCGGGGCTCCACGTTAAGACCTCCTCCAAAGAAGGCACCTGGGCCCCTCGTAGTTGCGGGACAAACCCACTACGAAGTAAAGCGCATTCTCGATTCTAGAATTTTCAGGGGGAAATTGCAGTACCTAGTGCAATGGAAGGGATACCCGTTAACTGAAGCCACCTGGGTGAAATCCAGTGAAGTGAAAGCTGACCGATTGATCAACAGATTTCATATAAAAAATCCCACCAAACCGAAAGATGACTCTTAACCTATGCTTAACCTATGCTTTTGTTCACTTTACAGGATCTGTCTTTCATCTAAGGGGGGCCGGATGTCAAGTCTGCTAACATTGGATGTTATTGCTTGACATAAGTGAAGAAGCAAACATATCTATTNTCTGTTTAATTGGAGCATATGATTGATGACTGTGAAAGGAGGGAGGGAGTTGTGCTTGTCGCGAGAGCTAGGATGGGGGGGTGTTTCAGTTTTTGGCTTTACTTCGTTCGTGCCGGATTATGTAACTCATTAAAGGATTCTTTAAGGTAATTATGCCTAAAAGTTCTCTGAAAAGTTATTTCTTTCGGAACCTGACACTCCTCTTGTTTTGTTCTTGTTGATCCCGATTGCACTATCCTGATGCTTGAAATGGCCACTTCTTGGGAAAAAGGATAAATTGTCCCTTTCTTGCATGAATGTTCCATGGCTAATAAAAATTTGTCATTAGTCTGGTTTCAATCCATCAAACAGATAATTTTTGCAATAGTGATATTTGCAGATTAAGTTTATTTTGATCCAATCTATGAACTTACCAGGAACATGCAATTACAAAGATTAGGTATATCGTTTTGAAAGCCCAAAATTGCTTCCTCTCATGTCACATTCCTATCCATTCGTGCCTTTCTCCTTTGTAGATCTCTGAAATCATCAAGTTCTGCTGTGATTTCCTGATGCTTTGGGTGGATGATGAGAACATTGTGGATATGTATAGATTGGCTGATCTCTTTGATTTGTGTTACCTGATAGAGAAGCTGGATTCCTACTTTCTGAAAAACTTTGTTACCCTCTCAAAGACAGAAACGTACCGCCAACTTCCCCTGGAGAAGGTCTGTGCCCTCCTCAACAGTAACCTCTTGGAGGTGAATTCTGAGAATGAGGTCTACGAAGGGGCCCTCCTTTACCATTACACACCAGAACAACTGGAGACGGATCAGGTTTCGCTGATGGAGCCTCCTAAGCTGCTGGAGACAGTCCGTTTTCCTCTGATTGAGTTCCAAATTCTGCAGAGACTTCACAACAAGTTAAGCTCCTGTCCGTTAAAGGAGACGGTAGCTAATGCCCTAATGTACCATAAGAACGAGTGCCTCCAGCCGGTGCTTCAGAACAGGCATACACAATTGAGGTCTGAGTTCCACTGTGTGGTAGGCTTTGGGGGGATGCATTCAACCCCGTCTACTGCCCTCAGCAACCAAGCCCGGTACTTGAATCCACTTTTGGGAGAATGGCGGCATTTCACAACAGCCTTGTCCCCAAGAATGTCCAATCAGGGAATAGCTGTTCTCAACAATTTTGTATATCTGATTGGCGGAGATAACAATGTTCGAGGTTTTCGAGCAGAATCCAGATGTTGGAGGTAAGAGAATCCCTTTCAGAAATGTATAAATTGCCAATATTCCCAGTGCCTGTGGTGTGTTCAGCTTCAGGGAAAATAGGCCCAGGGCCCTCCCAACAATCCCAGAACCACCTTGAAGCATGGCTCAGTTACTTCAGCTGGGTTCTTCAACCCACCTTCCTCTCGGGGTGAGAAAGATGAGCAGATCCATTTTGGCAATGGAAAGATTGCAAGCACAACTGTTTTAGTCCTGTGCTGTTTCAACAGAGCAAAAAGTAGGGCGGCTGTCGTGGAACAGAAATGGTTTGGAAGCAGCTGGTGATGGTGACTAACCAGACTGGGGTGAGAGCAGAAGAGAACATAATGACAACGTGCCGCTGCTCAGTTACTCCGTGGGAGACAGTTGTGATTTGCATAGGCAGAGTCCAAGAAACGCTGGTGGCCCCCTCTCATCGGGCAACAACCATTAGTCTTGCAGTGGGAAATGGGTGGGTGGGTGGAGATTAGAGATTTGCTCGAGACCCCACCCCTCTTGTACTTCTTGGAGAGCTATCTGTCCTGTTTCTTTGCAAGGTATGACCCAAGACACAATAAGTGGCTCCAGATTCAGCCCTTGCAGCAGGAGCACGCCGATCTCTGTGTCTGCATGGTGGACGGGGCGATCTATGCGGTGGCTGGGCGCAACTACCGGGAGGACCTTCGGGAAGTGGAAAAATACGACCCCAAAACCAACAGCTGGGAATACGTGGCTCCTCTCCAGAGGGAGGTAAGGAGGGAGAGGCAGACAAGTGATGGCAGGCAGGTCTTTGGCCTGAAGTGGCCCCCGGAGATGAGTGCCACGCCTAGTTAGATTGGCAGGCTGACCCATCTGGGAACACCAAGGCAGTTTGGTGGGAGTCTTGCCAAAAAGTTCCCCAAAGCTGGTCCTGGGGATCAGAAGTCGATCCCACTGTGCCTTGGCTGGAGTGGCCCCACTAAATGTGGCTGTGTCCCTGATCTGAACAAGGCCCTCGCTAGGGGTATCCGGGAGGGAGGGAAAAGCTTTGGATTCCTCAGCCCTGGCCACTTCGTGAAACTTCTCTTCAAGCCACACTCTATTAGTGGAGGACCAATTCTGGGTGCAAAAGCAATCCTGGGGTATTTGTCTCTTGGAGGTTAAGTGCTGACACTCACCTGCATGGCCAAATGCAAAACTGCTTCTTTGCTCTTTATGAAGGGTTGTGATTCTTTGCTCTTTCCTGGCTCCCAGGGGTTTGGAATAAAGTCAAAGTGCAATAAACACACGGAAGGGATATAAAACAAGCTGTTAACGTGAACCAAGAACAGAGTTAAATCACCTGCCAATTTCAAAAAGATAAACTGACTTTCTTTGGAAAAATCAGGCTTTTGCCTGGTACATAAAGGTAGCACAGTGTGGCAGGGCCAGGTTACAGCTAGTCCTCGTTTAACAACGGCAGTAAGGACCAGAGTTTCCCTCGCTAAGTGATACGATTGTAAACTAGGATGTCATGTGACCAGGCTGCTTTGTGAAGGAAATTCTGGCTCTTCCAGTAGCCATGTTAAGCAAAAGAGCAGGGGTCGGTAAGTGAGAATGTTAGCTAGTCGCTATGTGCAATTACACTGGCCTCTGGCTTTTTGGACACTCCCTGGCAAGAAGAAATTTGGTGGAAAGATAGACAAAACCGTAGCTCTGGGAGACTTAACTTACTGGGGAAAGTAAGTTTTTCTAATCCTCTGGAATAGTTGGGGGGGGTGTTTCACATCAGATAGCAGCTACTGAGAATATAATCTTTTGGGAACTTCTCAAAGAGCCTTACTTGATAAGATTTATTGAACAGAAAAGCATAAAGCTATAGGAATTTCAGCAACTGAATTTCTGTTAGAAAAAAAGCTGATTTACCTCTGAAATATCTTAGGGCAGAGACTTACTCAGTTTCTTCTTGATAAATTTCCTGTGAAGTGGCCAAAAAGTGGGCTTCTTTGTGGATAAGCCAGGCTACTGGTGGCAGCCACCTCTCTTATAATGACAATTGCAGAAGCGGAGGGGAAATGTCCCCCACTCCTCTTCTATGTTTTTGGCCAGCTGGCTGGGTTCACAGACAGAGCTCCTGCTTGCTGATATAAGCAACCTCCTAAACTACTACTCTCCCCTCCACCCCACCCCAGTTGTCCTGCCCTGAGGAACTTCTTCTGAACTGGGCTGGGGAAGGGTGAACCCAGGAGAAGAAAGGAGGGGGTCTCATCTGCGATCCCTGCCTGCTTCCCCACCAGTCCTGCAGCAAGCCTTAAAACTTTCCTGGAGGGAAAGATTTCCAGTAAGTTCCTGGAAGCAAGTAAATGCAAAATGTGGAAGGTGGGTAGTGTGAACTTATGAAGTATTTGTGGGTTATCGAAAAGTAGTTAGTGGATCATACTTACTTCATGAAATATTAGTTAGAAACTCCTGGTTTAAGGCAGCTATTTGCAAAATGCCACCCTTCCCACAACATCATTGATGCATTGTTGAAGTATTAGCAGGACAGTCTTTTGTTGAGTCTGTTTCTTTTGAATAGTTTGTATCCTTCCATCAGAACATTCCAATCACGAGTTTCATCTCAAGTTTCAGTAATGGCAACTGTATCATATCTGCCTTCATGTACTAATACTTCAAGTTCACCCTGTTTCTTTCCCTAAACTTTGAGCGTTCGTGTATAGGCATTTGAGTCCTTTATGGATCTTCTTAGATATGTTTCTTATAACTCCTACTTTGTATCTGGGTTTTCCATCCTTTCCATCATTCTACTTCATTGTGTTTTTCCTTTTTTTCTCCTTCTTTCTCTTTACTCCCTACCTCCTTATGTGATTGGTTATCTAGTGGTTTTTGCTTGGAATCAGGTTCTAAAGGTCTTGAAGATTGCCCCACCCCCTCATTTTTAGTTTAAAGCCCTTCTGATAAGATGGTCATTTTCTGAATATATTTTTTCCAGTTCTTGTGAGGGTAACCCCATCCCTTACTGGTAACCCTTCATGTAGGTAATGCAGACCATAGTCTAGGAAACCAAAGTTCTTTCGGTGACACCAGTTTTTAAGCCAGTGGTTTGTTTCTAAAACCCTTTGCTCCCTTATTGGATGTTGGCTTTTTGTTGGAAATATAGATGAAAACACCACTTGTGCTCCTAGTTCTTTAACTTTTTTCCTTAGCTGTTCATAATCTTGTTATTGTTTTTAGATTCATTGTTGTCATTGGTCCCCATGTGTAGGAGAAGAAACGGGTAGTAATCCGTGGGGTTGATTATTTTACTACGTTTCTCAGTTACCTCTTTGATTTTTGCTCCAGCGAGACAACATACCTCCCTAGATTGACTGCATAATCTGCACACTATAGTTTCTATTCCCCAAAGCATTGAATCTCTTATTACCAATATTCACCTTTTTTTCCCTAAGAAAGTGTGGGATACTATTCTTCCTGTCTTAGGAATGCTGGGTTGTGCCTCTTTTTTTAGAAACCATCAATGAATGCTCTTTTGTGAGTGTCTGTATCATGGTTCCGATAGATGAAGCCAACTAAAAGAACTTCAAGGCAAAGATTTCTTCCTTAAAGAACATTTTATTCAGGAAACAAAGTATCGACACTTACATAGTTGAACCCAAGACTAAAGTTCCCTCCCCCTGATACAAAGTAACAAGTTGCAGTTCCCACCCCAGAAAGGCTGTCATAAATCACATTCACCAATTATTCTTAAACGCGGGCTCTCCTCCCAACTTTTCAGCCCGCCAAAACTTTATCTAATATGGACCTTGATTCTCACCCAGCTGCAAATGTTATGGTTAACAGAAAACGCTCGAGCATTCTCCCCTTCCCCCCTTCTACATCTGAGAATCCCAAACAACAGAAAAAGCACAAGGAAAGCAAAAGGTAAAATGGCTACAGTTTCTCAATTGTCGCAGCACTGACATCCGGCCCCCCTTAACAGAAAGGAGAAGTCCTACAAATCAAATAAAAGCATAAGTTAAGGATTTGCCCTTGGTTTGTTCAGATGTTTATCATAAAATTTATGAATAAGTCTATCAGCCTTTACATCAGTACACTTCACCCAACTAGCCTCTGATAATGGGTAGCCATTCCACTGCACTAAGTATTGCAATTTCCCCATGTACAATCTAGCATCGAGAATGCGTTTCACTTCGTAATGAATCTCCCTAGCCACAAGGGGACCAGGAGCTTTCTTGGGAGGGGCTCTTAAAGTTGATTCTCTGAATGGTTTCAACAAGCTGCAATGAAATTGTTGGAATATTCATGAGCAGGAAGAGTCATGTGGTAACTCAGTCAGCCAATGTGAAGAAAGTGCTACTGAGTCTGTGCAAAAGGTTATTGAGTTAGAAGCTGGTTTTCAGTTTCAGTCTCTGGTCTGTCTCTGCTGTAAGAAATCTTCATTTGTGCTATGTTGCTGTAAAGAAGAATGTATGGTATTGTAAATAATTTTATATGAATATAAAGAGTTTATTTGAATCAGCTAAATGCAGTCAACTGTGAGAGCTTCTGATTTATTTTTCACCAATAGCAAAATTAAAATTCTCTAACAGAAATACAGGGTGAATCTTTCCTAAAAGCCGAGGGAGCTTTAATTCTACCGTAACTGGGTTCAAAATTCACACTATGGGGAAAGGACCCAGGTATTTTGGTCCCAATTTTTTACTAGGCAATTTGAGTCTTAAATATTTTGTGGACAGATAAACCTTTTCCCACACCAGAAATGACCTCTGAGGTACTCTTTTCCTATCCACTTGTTTTTTATACGTTTCTGAGGCTTTTTCAAAGCTTTTTTGGCATTGTCCACTTCCTTCCAAGTTGACACCCATTGATCTAAAGTCTGAGAGGCAGGTGGTTCTTGGGGGTATTCAGGCATTGGAATGAAATCCCTTCCAGTGGCGATTTTAAAAGGTATGAATCCGGTGCTACTGTGGACAGTGTTGTTGCAGTGCACTTCAGCGAAAGGGAGGAGGTCAGTCCAATTTGTTTGTTGGTAATCCACATAGCACCTAGATATTGTTCCACCATTGCATTCACTTTTTCAGCCGCCCCATTCGTAGATGGGTGAAAAGCCGATGTCCTTGCGTTGAACCAATTATTTTTAGAAAATTTCTCCAGAATTTAGCCGTAAATTGCACTTTCCTATCACTCGCTTTGGTGTGCCGTGTAGTCTGTAAATGTGTTTAAGGAATATCTTAGCCAGTTTCTGCGCTGACGGGTGGCCAGAGCAGGTAATGAAATGAGCCTGCTTTGAGAAAAGATCAATCACAGTCCATATTACCGTATTTCCTCTGCTTTCAGGTAACTGAATGATAAAATCCATAGTGATCTCTTCCCATGGTTAGGAAGGATCTGCAACAGACTGCAATAGTCCAGGGGGCTTTCCTGGAATTCTTTTCATGGTAGCACAGACTGGCAAGTTTTTTACATCTTTCTTTAAGCCTGGCCACCAAAATTGCCGTCGAATTAAATGCAGCATTTTCAAGTAACCGAAGTGACCAGCCTGTTTTACATCATGGCTGCACTGGAGCGCTTGGAGTCTGAGTGATTCAGGCAAATATAATTCCCCCCCCCCCCTTGTAAGCCAACACATCCTTATGGGTAAGGAGGGTTTGATTGTCCTTAAACCATTGATCAGTTCTTGTTTTAACTTCTTTGTTAACGGATTGTCAGGGTTAGGAGTTTTTACAGATTGAGGTCTCTGAGGGATTGTCTGAGAAATAACGTGTGGTGCCAACATAATGGAATCAATAACCTGCTCGCGCTGGCTTTTATATTGGGGTAATCTGGATAGGACATGGGTCGGCAACCCGCGGCTCTGGAGCTGCATGCGGCTTTCAGCCTTCTACTGCGGCTCCCAGTCCTCCGCCATTTGCAGAGAGATAAAGAGAGGCACTTGCGCTTCCCTTCTCTCTCTCTCTCTCCCTCCCTCCCCCCCCCCGATATTCTGCTCACCTGGCCAGCCGGCCTCATGCTCTTCTCTGACAAGCTGACACACCGCGGACATTCTTATTGGGCTGGCTTTACACCGGCGCTCCTCTCCCATCAGAATCTACGTCCCGCGATTGGTTGGCTCCCTCAACGTGTCCCCCCCCTCTCTATATATATATATATACGTCCCGCGATTGGTTGGCTCCCTCAATGTGTCCCTCCCCCGCAGAAAGGGCGTGGCTCTTCATCCAGGCTTACCCCCTCGCGGGCTTCTGATTGGCCCAGCACCCGGGCACCCTGCCCACGTGGCCGGAGAGCTGCACGGGGCAGCCCTGGGATCTCCCCTGGGAGCGGCCCACCGGAGCCTCCGCTGAGCGGGCCAGCCCTCCTGCAAGCCACGGCCCTGAGGGAGCGCAGCCCCTGCAATCCCCAGCTGGCGCTACTGTTGGCCCCACTGGCTGGGAAGGCACACTGGAGTCCCGGCTGCCAGGAACGCGATTGGCCTGCTCCTCTCCCATCGCTCGAGCCTGGCTGGAGCAGCGTTGGTACTTTCAAAGGTGGCCACTTCAAGGTCACACGGGCAGCCTTCGGCGGCTCCCCTCCCCTCCGCGCCTCCAAATTGATCCCCGGGCCGCCGCCTGCGACCTTAAAATGATTGCCAAATGATTGCCAAATGATTGCCAAACAGCCCCCAAAGCAGCTCTGGGCAAACGTGCTGCGTTTCTATTTGCTTGGGCCTGCAGCTTTGAATTGCAGGTAATGGGCCCCCCAGTGATAGGTATCTGTCAATTTCCCAAGAGCTGCCTACGGGAAGAGGAGAAACAACTGGGGGGGGGCAACCCCCATCTTAGGGGCTGGCCTGGCTGCAACTTTCCTGCCCTGCAGCCTTTGGTCAAACATGCTGCCAGTGGCTCACAATCAATTGGCCAAACCCAGCAGGGGGCTCTGGCAGGCTCAGGAGCGAAAAGAGGGAGGGGAACAGTGAGAGAAAAAAGCTGTAAGGGGGGGCTGAATGATGAGCAGACAATCAGAGAGAGAGAGAGGGAGGGAGGGAGGGAGAGAGAGAGAGAATATGAATATATGTGGTTGTCCTTACTGGACTTTTAGTAAATAACGTTTAATGAAATATTTTGATTTGTTTTTAATTAAGAGATGAAGTACGGGGATAATTATGCTGTATTTAAAGATGGTACATAAGCTACTAAAATTGTTTTTATCTGTTGGGATGAAGCAGAAAGGTTTTTTTCCCCCTCTTTCTCCTGTCCTTTTCTCCCCCCCCCCCCATTTTTTTTCTTTTCTATTTTCCTATTTGTAGTTTTTATAGTTTGCATCGGCTTTTTATTTCATAAATACGAGGACTGAAATAGACATTGAGCATTTTATTTGAAAGTAACCTTCAACACAGCATCTTTTTTTTGGAGTTCAAAATGTTTTTGTTGCATGCAGAAATAAAAATTTGTTTTCTTTGTAGCAGTTTGTTGATGTCATAAATGCAACACACTATAGTTTTTTTATACATAGCATAAAGGTAAAAAATGATATATGCAGTGTTATCTTCATTTTAGATGTCAAAAGGGTTTTGTGGCTCCTAGTGTTTTCTTTTCTGTGGGAAACGGGTCCAAATGGCTCTTTGAGTGTTTAGGGTTGCCGACCCTTGGGCTAGACTACTGTAGGATGTAAACTGGGGTGCAGAAGGGAGATGGGCTATGCAGATGCCGGTTGCACTTGAGATAGATTACAAATATCTTATCAATTGACAATTGTGATGTGTTAAAAACCCAGTGTATTTGATTGAGACCTTCTAAGCATGCCTTTTAGTAACATGTTAGTCAGAAAAGGCGCTACCAGACTCCTGATTTTTTTGCTACCAAGGCTAACATGGATGTCCTGCTCCAGTGTTTTCCCAGAGTAGCTAAAGGTCCATTGAGGGCATTGCTGCTGAAAATCGTGAAAAGTAAGGAACTTTGCAAGGGGTGTGGTGGAGGAGAGAAAACCAAGAGTGTGGTCTCCCTCTCTGCTACTTCTTGCTTTCTGTCCCATTGATACAGGTCTATGCCCATGCAGGAGCAGAACTGGAAGGCAAGATCTACATCACTTGCGGGAGGCGAGGAGAAGACTACCTAAAAGAGCTGCAGTGCTACGACCCAGCCATCAATCGCTGGGACATCTTAAGTGACAGTCCCATCAGGAGAGCCTGGCATGGGATGGCCGCACTGTTGGGAAGGCTCTACGTGATTGGAGGCAGTAACAATGACTCCGGCTACAGAAGAGATGTTCACGAGGTGAGGCAGCCTTTGGCTTGGCTAATGACCTTTTTATTGCATGCTGCTGCTATTTAGAAGACTTGTGATGCCAGACAAATCTTATTGCATTCGTTGACCAAGTGACAAAATTAGTGGACCAGAGGAATGCTGTGGATATAATTTACTTGGACTTCAGTAAGGCATTTGACAAAGTAGACCACAACCTACTACTTGAGAAGATAGAAAAATGTGGGTTAGACAGCATCACCACCAGATGGATCCGTAGCTGGCTGACCGGTCGTACTCAGCGTGTGGTCCTTAATGGAACCGCATCTACATGGAGGGAAGTGTGTAGTGGGGTGCTCCAGGGCTCTGTTCTGGGCCCAGTGCTCTTCAACATCTTCATCAACGATCTGGATGAGGGGATAGATGGGGAACTCATCAAATTTGCAGATGACACCAAGTTGGCAGGAATAGCCAACACTCCAGAAGACAGGCTTAGGATACAGGAGGATCTGGACAGACCTGAACACTGGGCGCTATCTAACAAAATGAAATTCAATGGTGAAAAAAGTAAGGTTCTATATTTAGGCAAGAAAAACCAAATGTACAAGTATAGTATAGGGGGTACCTTGCTCAATAGTAGTAACTGTGAGAGGGACCTCGGAGTCCTAGTGGACAATCACTTAAATATGAGCCAGCAGTGTGCTGCAGCTGCCAAAAAGGCCAACACAGTGCTGGGCTGCATTAACAGAGAGATAGAATCAAGATCACATGAAGTATTAATACCACTTTACAATGCCTTGGTAAGGCCACACTTGGAATACTGCATCCAGTTTTGGTCACCACGATGTAAAAAAGATGTTGAGACTCTAGAAAGAGTACAGAGAAGAGCAACAAAGATGATTAGGGGACTGGAGGCTAAAACATATAAGAAACGGTTGCTGGAATTGGGTATGTCTAGTTTAACGAAGAGAAGGATGAGGGGGGACATGATAGCAGTGTTCCAATATCTCAGGGGCTGCCCCAAAGAAGAGGGAGCCAAGCTATTTTCCAAGGCGCCTGAAGGCAGGACAAGGAGAAACGGGTGGAAACTAACCAAAGAACTAACCTAGAACTAGGGAGAAACTTTCTGACAGTTAGAACAATTAACCAGTGGAACAACCTGCCTCCAGAAGCGGTGAATGCTCCAACACTGGAAGTTTATAAGAAGAGACTGGACAGCCATTTGTCTGAAATGGTATAGGGTTTCCTGTCTGAACGGGGTTGGACTAGATGACCTCCAAGGTCCCTTCCAACTTTATCATTATTATTATTAAGAATACCAAGGGAGATGTCAGAACTTTAATAAATATTTTTAAAGGTTTATTAAATACTTACCACATAAGTAGATACGACCCCAATCAGCCAGCTGAGCCCTAACGAGAAAAGTTCATGTTCAGGAAGTGGATTCGGGAGGAAGCTGGGAAAAAGAGGTCCATCTGGTAGCCCTTTTTCCCCACTCCCCCCATTTGGAATCTCTGTTCCGGGATAATTAGCAAGGGGAAATCAATGTTTGTATTTACAATCATTGGAAAGGAAGAGATTACAAGAGAATAAGCAAGCACACAGTGGAGAATAGGCATTGAAAGGAATGCCTTAGCCCCCAGCTTAGAAGCCAAAAGAAAGCCTTTGGGGGAAACTGATAATCAAAAAATAGATCTACGAACAACAAGAAGCAAACAAAGTTATAACCAGTAGCAGGCACGGGTTTGTCAAAAACAGATCGTGCCAAGCCAATCTTTTTTCATTCTTCGATAAAGTGACTAAACTAATAGACCAGCGAAATGCTATGGACGTAGTATACTTAGATTTCAGTAAGGCATTTGATAAGGTAGACCACAACCTACCCTTTGGTAAGCTAGAAAAAGATGGAATAGACAAGATCACCACCAGATGGATCTGTAGCTGACTAACAAACCGTACTGAACGAGTAGTCCTCAATGGCACTACATCCACATGGAGAGAAGTAAGCAATGGGGTACCACAAGGCTCCGTCTTAGGCCCAGGACTCTTCAATATCTTCATAAATGACTTAGATGAGGGAATTGAAGGAGAACTCATCAAATTTGCAGATGACACCAAACTGGCAGGTGTAGCCAACACCCCAGAAGACAAACTCAGGATCCAAAAAGATTTTGAACAATGGGCCCTATCCAACAAAATGAGTTTCAATGTGGAGAAAAGCAAAGTTTTACATTTAGGCAGGAAAAATCAAAGGCACAAGTATAGACTGGGCGAGATCTGGCTTAAAAACAGTAACTGTGAGAGGGACCTTGGAGTCCTAGTGGACGTTCACTTGACCATGAGCCAGCAGTGTGCAACAGCAACCAAAAAAGCTAATACAATCCTGGGTTGTATAAACGGGCATAGAATCAAGATCACGTGAAGTATTAGTACCGCTTTATAAAGCCTTAGTAAGACCACACCTGGAATACTGCGGCCAATTTTGGTCACCATATCACAAAAAAGATGTTGAGAGTTTGGAAAAAATTCAGAGAAGAGCAACTAAGATGATCAAATGCCTGGAGACTAAAACATACGAAGAACGGCTACAGGACTTGGGTTTGGCTAGTCTAAAGAAAAGAAGAAATAGGGGAGATGTGATAGCAGTATTCCAGTATCTGATGGGCTGCCACCAAGAAGAGGGGGTCCACCAAAGCACCAGAGGCAAGGACAAGAAACAATGGTTGGAAACTGATCAAAGAGAGAAGCAACCTGGAATTAAGGAGAAACTTCCTGACAGTGAGGACAATCAACCAGTGGAACAGCTTGCCTCCAGAAATTGTGGGTGCTCCATCACTGGGGGTTTTTAAGAAGAGACTAGACAATCACCTGTCTGAGATGGTATAGGTCCTCCTGCTTGAGCAGGGGGTTGGACTAGAAGAGCTCCAAGGTCCCTTCCAGATTATTCTATTCTATTTTATTTTAAAGAGCAGGGTAAGCTGACGGAAGGCTGCAAAGATGAACAAGATGTTAATCTGAGATGAGCACCTTTTAGGGAAGCGCTTAGAGCTGTTTAGATAGTTTAAGCCAGTGTTTTTCAACCTTGGCCCCTTGAAGATGGGTGGACTTAAACTCCCAAAATTCCCCAGCCAGTCTTCAAGTGGCCATGGTTGAGAAACACTGATTTAAGCAATCTTTCCCCTCTGCAAGGGAGGAAATTCTATGAAGGGGAGGGGACACAAAAATTGGGAGTTAGGCAGCCAGGCACAAGACACCCCCCCTCCAGAGCAAACATGATCATCTGCAAAGATCAAACCTTTGGGGCAAGCTTACAGCCACATGGAGGCCAAGCATTCTGTAGCTTTCCCAAGTGCAGGGTGTGGAATTGGTTATCCAGTGCCAAAACCTCCAGTGCTAGTCCAAAGACCAGAGTGTTTCCCAATGAAAGTCATGTTTACTTATCTGTAGTCCACAGTAAAGCAAGTTCCTGCTTTCAGAACTGGTTTGACAACTTTGCAGGGTGTTTCCAATAACCCTGACCCCCAAGAGTGCTTATTCTCAAGCTCAGAGAGCTGTTCCCAAATGTTCTTCCTAAAATGACCACTCTTTTAATGTTGTTTTCTACCAGGTTGCTTGCTATACCCCAAGCACTTCTCAGTGGACAAGTGTCCGTCCTCTTCATGCTGGGCACGGTGAGCCTGGCATTGCTGTCCTGGGCCATAGGATTTACATCTTGGGGGGAAGATCTCATAACCGTGGGATCTGCATGGACTATGTCCACATCTACGATGCCGAGAGAGACTGCTGGGAAGAGGGTCCTCAGTTGGAGGATGATATTTCCGGGATGGCAGCCTGCGTCCTTACTTTACCAAGGGCGATTCTCACAGAAGGCGAAATGGGCATGTCTGATGGACAGCAGAAGAGAGTCCAGGATTACTCAGGTGTGTCTGCTGAGGTCCTGAGAATATTAGATTGGGAGGAATTTGATAACATGAATGATAATTAGCTTTCTATTACTTTGGGGTTGGCTTTTCTTATTTGGGCTGCCATCAGAGCTCCACCAAGCTGGAGGAAGCCTGATGCCATTTAGTAGTACAGTAGTTGAGCCATTGCAAGAAGCATTTTAAGGTACAGTTCTTTAAACTGATGAAGATTCTTTGATGAGAAGCGAAACATCTTTTTCCTGAAAGAAAAAACATAGTCCAGCTGCCTTTTGCAAAAGCACTTTTGAGACAACCATGACCTGGATGACTGAGAATCTCCACAGATGTACAGCTCGTTGCGTGGCCAGTGAAAAACTTCTAGAAAAATTCAGTATATGTCTTGATCAATCAGTCAGTCTTCAAATTATTTGCTGACTAGAACATACCTCAGAAGTTTAACAGTAAAATAGATGCATCAAATTAACTAGATACTAAAAGCTTACTGAGCTCCTTAATTCATCACAGAATCTGCATTAAAGATTCAGTTTGGCATAATTTGGCTTTGTTGCACACAATCATGACTCCACATCTTCATTATCTCTGAACTGCTCATGATAATCACTGCATTTCATACAGATGGAAAGAAAAACAAGAACCAGTAATTTTTTTCCATATTTATTTATTTTTAAATTGCTGCATCAGGTTTCCCATATACCAAAGCAGCCTTTCCTCTGGAGTAAACTGTTGTGCCTAGTTAAATCAGAGGAGGAAGCTGCCAGGATAAGTCAAAGGATCCTGAGAAGTAGAAGGGAATTAGAATGCTGCTTAAGGTCTCAGCAGGAGGATGGTGGTTTCAATCCACCCTTCTCAGATGTTTTCTTTGCCTCCTTAGTGAAAAACACGTATTTATAAAGAATTGTTCCTTGTGTTCAGTCGTTTCTCCACCAGAATCTGCTCTGGGTTCCAGAAAGCAACAGCTCGGCTGTGGTGCCATCTTTCTTACTTTCTGGGAAAACTCTTTTAACATTGGTTGTTATTGTTCCTCTTAATAAATAAATTGCTGGTTTACGATTCCGAGTGCAGCCCCCAATGCCTCTTTTGTATGCTTGCTTTGCTTATGTTTAATTTTTCCTCCGGCGCTGGAAAATGACCGACCGTCCTGGCAAGCTGCAGCGACGGGGTCAAAAGGGGGGGGGCTGCGGCTGGTCATCGCCGGGTCCAAAGAAGGGAGCCCCGTCGCGGGTCCCTCCCAGGAGCCTCGACCGAGGCGCCTCTGAGCACCACGGTGGCACTCCCGCCCAGGAACCGCTCGGGAAACGCTCCTTCCGCGCCCGAGTTCCTTTTCCTAGCCTGACCCGCCTTCGGGCCGGAGCGGAGGGCGCGGGGAGACCATCGGCCCTGCCTGTTCCCTCGCCCGGACAGCCGCTCGCCAGACTGGGGCAGGGCTGCGGGGAGGTCCGCCCGGCGGAAGGGGCAGCGGTGGGGCGCCACTCCCGGCCCTGCCAAGGGCGGGCGGGAAAAGCCCCCCCCATCCTCCCTCTCTCCGGGCACAGGGCGGGGCCTCGCCCTCGCAGGAAAGCCCGCCTCCCCTCGTCGCAAGCAGCCCCTCCGGCCGGAAGCCCCGCCCTCCCCCGAGGAAGAGGCTGGGCGCGCCTGCGCGGCGAGCGTGTCGCGCGCGTCCTCCTCCTCCGGCTCCGCTGAGGCGCCATTTTGGGCGCGGGCTCCGGCGGGCGCGGCGGCAAGGCCGTAGCAGCGGCGCGAGAGCCCCGCCCGCCATGATGTCGTCGCCGCCGCCGCCTCCGCCGCCGCCCGCCTCGTCCTGCTCGGCGGGGCCTTCAGCGCGCCGCTTCGACGCGTCGGACCGGGCGTCGTGGTACGCGGGCCCGCTGTCGCGCGCGGAGGCGCAGGGCCGGCTGCAGGGCCAGCGGCACGGGACCTTCCTGGTGCGCGACTCGTCCACCTGCCCCGGCGACTACGTGCTGTCGGTGTCGGAGAACGCGCGCGTCTCGCACTACATCATCAACTCGCTGCCCGGGCGGCGCTTCAAGATCGGCGACCAGGAGTTCGAGCACCTGCCGGCCCTGCTGGAGTTCTACAAGGTCCACTACCTGGACACCACCACCCTGCTGGAGCCCGCGCCCAGGTCAGCCGCCGCCCGGGGTCCCGATTGGGGGGCGGGGCGGTCCGGAAGGCGAAGCGAAGCCGGCGGGGCTTGGCCTTCAATGGGTTGGCGTCAGAGGGCTCCCGGCATGAGCAGCTTTTCAGGGAAACGGGGATAGCATCCAAGCCCCCCCCCCCCTCTAGACTCGAAGGCTTTCCGAGACTGGCTTGTCTTTAACTGAATGGATTTGATCGAGATGCTGCCAGACTCTAGGAGGATTCTGGGCAGCCATCAAAGAGAATAAAAGGCCGTATAGTTCAAAAAAGACAAAATAGAGAACAAGATGGCAGATCTGGCCAACCACATAAAATTCATGTGTCAATAAAACTCACAAGGCGCTCCAGCCACCCTGCCCACGGCTGGGCCAGACAGCAGAAGAAATGCCTGGGGCATCTTTTTACCGAGAGTATAACTTTACTGAAGTTTCCATGTAGGTACAGAAGCAGAACACCCAGTTCTAACAATTTCGTTTGAAAACAGCATACGAAAACTTTCCCTTCCCCCCCTGGACCTCCCATTGTCCACCCATCATTTGCATTCTCTTTGTTTTGGGAATGACTTCCCCAGCTGGTGACCTTGAGGTGTTGGGTCTGTCTCAGGCTTCCAGTTGGCACACTTGCATTCCAAATTTTCCTTCCAAACTTCCCTTACATTCCAACGCCTTCCCTCGCCCCTCCCGTTACAGTTGTCTGGTTGCGAATGGGGCTTTGGAGCAAGTCAACCATAACAGCCAGGGAGGAGAGCCAGGCTTGGTGGCCCTCCAGAATGCCATCAGGGTGAGGTGGAATTTCATTCCAGGTGATGGGCACTAAAACAGAAGGCATGCCCTGAGTCCCAAAAGATGATACTGTTTAATGGAAGGGATCTGAAGGGCATCGACCTTGTTGTCTCACATTAGCTGAGTAGAAACCAGCAGTATGCCATGTAGGGCTTTATTGACAACCAGCATCCTGAACTGCACTCGGAAGGAAACAGGTGGCCAGCGTAATAGTGTCATGTGTGCATAGGAAGGTGTTTCTATTGTTGCTCACATCACCAGATGCTGGACTACTTGCAGCTTGCAGGTGTCTTCAAGGCCAGCTCCATGTAGGCACTTTAGAACAGTGGAGCAGTGAGGTGACTACACAACAAAAGATAATGTTATGAGGATGTCATTCTTTCATAAGAGTTTGAGTAATTCCCTTGTCGCCTTCAGGTATCCACTGATGGGTTCTGGTACTGGCTCAGGTGCATCAGCTGCAGAGGAGAATGTGGAATATGTGCGGACTCTTTATGACTTTCCTGGTAACGATGCGGAGGATCTACCATTTAAAAAGGGGGAGATACTCGTCATCGTAGAAAAACCTGAAGACCAGTGGTGGAGTGCCAGAAACAAAGACGGGCGCATCGGGATGATCCCTGTCCCTTATGTTGAGAAGCTTGTGAGATCATCTCCTCATGGGAAACATGGTGGTCGGAATTCCAATAGCTATGGGATTCCCGAGCCCGCTCACGCCTATGCTCAGCCTCAGACCTCGAGTCCTCTTCCCAGTGCTACTCATACTCCTGTCATCAGTCCCTTGCCTTCAACCCAGAATGGACCAGTCTATGCCAAAGCCATTCAAAAGAGGGTTCCCTGTGCTTATGACAAGACTGCCTTGGCATTGGAGGTAAGCCGTTCAGCTGGAGCAGGCTCCATTCAGCTTAGTTCAGTTTCCTCATCCAGTTGACAGGGCCTGTCTCAAGCAGGAATTTAACTGCTCTCTGGTTTTCATGGACTGATAAATAACTGAATGTTCTGATCCTGCCTCCCACAGTCACTCTTAAATGTGGAGCCCCTGGTAAAACTCTGTGCCTCTGTGCTTAGGCTTGGCGATTAGACTTGGCGTGGGGGATGCAGCTGACATATTCAGGTTTTGCCATCCATGGAGGCCTTTCAGCCGTTAGTTAATCTGCTTCTCTACTGCAGAATATTAAAAATCCTTGAATGTTATGAAAGAATGACTGCTCACGTTCTAAATATTTAAACAAAATAGTCTTCTATAAGTACTCCACATTCATTCCTTCTGCTGAACCTGGGCTGTAAGGTTTTGTGTTACTCAGAATGGGGCAAATTTAACATTTCTCCAGATTAGGTGAATCACAAGTGAGGTTCAATAGAAGCATAAAGTCACTTAGAAATTTTGAAAGTGCCTTATAGTTACGTTTTTAGGGCTTGTAATAAATAAGTCTTTGATGCTTCCCTCTTTCCCCATTCCACAGCTGCATGATACATTCATTCTCCATATATATTTATTGGTTAATTTTCTCAGACTGTTCTCAGTGTAAATATCCAGTTATCGTATTGTATATACTATTTTGTTTAGCCTTATTTTCTCATTGTATCTTGTAACAATTTTGTTTTGAGCAAGTTTAGTCTGAAGTGATCTCCCACTATGGCAGGGCTTACTCTGATATAAGCTTATAGTCTAAGCCAATGGTTCTCAACCTTCCTAATGCCGTGATGTTGTGGTGACCCCCAACCCCCCATCCAGCTGGCCGGGGAGGGGGGGCAGGAAGGCCGCTCCGCCCAGCCTGGTTGGAGAAGCGCCATTCCTCTCCCTCTTTCTCTCTCTCTTTCCTCTCTCTTTTCCTCTCTTTCTCTTTCTATCTCTCTCTTACGGCAGCATCGTCGGGGGTCCCCGCTGCCCCCGGCCCGGCCTCCGCCACGTCCTCAGCCGAATGGGTGGGGAGGGGGAGCAGGACGGGAGGCAGCGGCTCCGGTGGCGGCGGCGGCAGCACGGTTGCATCGTCGGGGATCCCTGCGGCCCCCTGCCCGGCCACCGCCCCCGCCAGGACTCCACACTGCTCGCCCTCTGCCCATCGATGGAGCCGCGGTGGGGACAGGGCCCGCCCGAGCCACCTGGGGGGCAGCAGGAGGAAGAAGGAGAGGAGGAGGGCAAGGAAGCAGCCGCCCCAGCCGGGACTCCACGCTGCCCGGCTTCTCCCTCCGCCCATCGATGGAGCCGCGGTGGGGGCTGGTGCTGCACGGCCCCTGCCAGCCCCTCCACCCGCCCGGCTGCTCTCCCCCCAGGCACCCCTCTTGTCCCGGCGCCCGCCTGAGCCGCCTGGGGGGCAGCAGGAGGAAGAAGGGGAGGAGGAAGAGGAGGGCAAGGAAGCCGCCCCCAGCGCCGGGCCCCAGGAGGAGGCTCTCCTCTCCTACCATTGCTGCATCTCCTTCTTCCTTCCCGGCAGCCTGGACTCTGGCGCGCCTTCCCGGCCAGCAGGACCAATGGTCGGGCTGGCTGGGGATCGCAGGGGTTGGTCTCCCTTGGGCCGCGGCTTGCGGGAGGGCTGGCCCGCTCAGCGGAGCCTCCAGCGGGCTGCTCCCAGCAGGGATCCCGGGGCTTCCCCGGGCGGCTCCAAGGCCACGAGGCCCTGGCCGCACTTCCCCCAGGGGGCGGGGCACCCGGGTGCAGGGCCAATCAGGAGCCCTGCAGGAGGTAAGTCTGCCTGAGAGAGAGAGAGAAGGGAAGCGAAAGTGCCTCTCTGTCTCTCTCTGCAAATGGCGGAGGAGGCCATGCGGAGACGGATGCGGAGCGGTGTCTCGGTTCCTAAGACCATCGGAAATATGTGTTTTCCGATGGTCTTAGGCGACCCTGTGAAAGGGTCGTTCAACCCCCAAAGGGGTCACGACCCACAGGTTGAGAACCGCTTCCTTTCACAGTTGTATTCTTAATCCTTTCCATTTCTTCTTGAAAAATACAGTAAAAGCCCCATTTATCCTCTTTCTATAACTCCTTGGTCATGTTTCCCAGTTCTTTTTATCATATGCCTATACTCTCTTTTTCTTATACCTGATTACTGTTGCCATGGCCTCTTTAACTTCTCATTGAACAAGTGCCAGTATTTTGAATTCTACCAAAAGAGCTTAAAAATGTCATCCTGATTGGGCAATTATAGAAAATGCTTTTCTTTGTGTCCACTTCAAAAATGTTAAGGTATTTTTGATTTTGTTTTCCCTTCTGCTCCCTTTCTTATTCAAGGTATTATTAGACTGTTGTTTTCAGCTGATTGATATAGCTAGAATTTGGCCTTTACAGATAGTCATCTTAGCCAACATTTTATTCTCTTAGTTTCAAGAGATTTAAAATGTTTCTTCAGAATTTCCTTAGTTACTTTTTATGAGGGAGTAAAGAATTGCAAGCAGTATGCAGCACCCCAGTACCCTGAGATTATATTACCAACACTCAGCAGGAAAACCCATTTATTAATCAACATATATGGCTGTCCAACTTGCAATGACTATTTTTATGATAGGCAGATAGTAATGATAGCTTCCTGGTCCCATTCCTTCTCTAATGCTCAGGAAAAGGGACACCCAAAATGTCAACCACCTCTCTTGCGGTGGGACTTAGTCCTCTACTATATGGTGCATTGAAACCCTCCAAACAATTAATTTCCAAATGATATTTTGGAATTTCCGCAGGAGATGGTGCCTAGGCTTGTGAGTGCTTTGATATTAAAATTCAGTTTTAAAAAATAAAATGTCAAAACTGATGTTTTTCCATTTATAATTGACAAGGTAGATGGTACTATTCATACTTGAATTGCTCTTCTAGTGCCTAGCTATATCTTTTCCAAAGGAGGTCCATATCTGCTTCTAAATCGTCATATCGCCAACAGTTGGAAGTAAGCATCTTCACGATGCATCAGCCGCAGAGCTGGGGAGCATTTCCTAGCATCTCCGGATGGCTCCTGAGAGAGCACCCTGAATACTGCCAAGATTGTCCTCTGCTCATTTGGTTCTCCTCCTCTTTGAAGTTGCTCCTGATATCACTTGCTAGGAAGCAGCAGGGAAGGGCTCTTTCATCCCCCAGGCCAGGCTGAGCAGCTTCCCAAAGATGCACAGTTGCCAGTTGTGTGAGGTGGAGTGCTGGGCTAGATCAGGACCTGATTCCACCAGGCTCTTCCTGTGTCTTGGTCAATATCTGGAAGCCTGAAAGATTGGATGGGACTGAGTAGCTGGCATTTAATAGACGATGGGCTTTGTATTAAAGGGAGTTGAATGCAATAAACAGAGAAAGAGAGAGGGAGTTAGAAAAGGGTGGAAGCATGAGAGATAAGTGGCAGCCAAATCAGGCCTCTGGGTGTGCGGTGTGGCCCCAAGAAGCGATTCCTGACCACAGAGGAGCCTTCAGCTCTCCCTCGTTTTTCATAGGAATTTCCCTTGGCATATCTGTCTGGGGATGTTTCCGAAGAGGTGGTATTTAATCACTGTCAATGGCTTGAGGGTGGAGATTTGGGATGTTTGGTTTATCATGGGAAGCTAAACATGGCCTGACTTGGTCCTAATTTAATAAGATAGGAACCCCCTCCCCCACAAAGAAGCGTTAAGGCTGTAAACTGCAGAGCAGGAGATTGACGAAAAATCTTGGATGACAACAGTGGCAAACCACTTCCTGCTTCCTGCCCAGAACACCACACAGATGTGTCCGTGAATTGAGCTCAGCTTCAAGGATATTTTGCATTCTTTTACTTAGGTGATCTCGGATGGGGGGGAGGTATTTGTCCATGGAGGCCAGCCTGGTTTATTTGCACTTAACTGTTGCTGGGTCTTCAAATGACTTTGATGCTGTTAATCGGAGCACCATCAGGCTTATCAAAGATTACAAGTAGACAAGTCAGTTTCCCTTATTTCTTCTGTAAAATTCAGTGAACTGAGAGGGGTGGTAATGAATTAGTTCAACCTCAAAGGGATGAACCTATATGGATGGATTTGAACTCAAAGGGATTGAGCCTATATGGATGGATTTCTGATATTTATAAGGCTTGCCGGACTCTTGGGAGAAAATAGAAGGTAGTGTATGAATTCTGCCTTCATTTCTTGAATAAATCTTTTTCCTTATTAATAGCAACGCCTTAATGAGGGCTAGGACTTTTTCCAAACCTGAGGTGCAGACAAAGGACCAGAGAGCCTTTATCCATTCAGCCCGGTCTCCCAAGATTGCCTTGGACCTGCCTCCCGAGCCACTCGCAGCGCAGTTTAAAATGCCAGGCAGAATCTCAGGCGCTGCTCACTTGTCCCTTTGGCCGGCGAGGGAGGCGGCTGGCCCCTTGGTATTCCTTAGCACATTCCTCCTCCCTAAGAGACAGCTGGCTTGGCAGAGAGAGGCAGGCTGACACTGTAGCCCCCCCCCCCCCAGCTTAGCCCAGCTTTTTTTTTTTTTTTTTAAAGGCCAGCAGAATGAAGCAGCCCTACCTGGCCTGAAAGTCCATTCTACTCCTTCCTCCTGCCCTGCCTGGGAACGCTCTCCCAAAGTCAAGTTTGCCTTTGTGCTGCAGCCAACTTGGGAGGCTCCACAGGGGCCTCCCCGCCAGCCTCATGTGTCACCGAAGGGATGGGATAGAGAAAGAGATGGCGGTGAGCAATCCCTTGGCCTGGGGACAGTTCCTCCCACATTGGAAAGAGCAGCTGCATGGAGGCTGAACCCGGTAGGGGTCTCCAGCAGCCAAAACTGCAACAGGCCTCCATCAAAATCTTGCACCAGGAGGAAGCAAAAAATGTTTATCACTGCTTCTTTGGAACAGTCGCTATCTAAGGAATTGCTAAATGAGATGTGGCTGTTAGATGTAATAACCCCAGCTCAGGGTTATAGACACACACACATGCACACCATTCATATTGGAG